CGCCATTCTCCTGCCCAGCCCCGAGTAGCTGGACTACAGGGCCGCCGCCCGCCGGCTAGTTTTTTGTATTTTTAGTAGAGACGGGGTTTCACCGTGTTAGCCAGGATGGTCTCGATCTCCTGACCTCGTGATCCCCTCGGCCTCCCAAAGTGCTGGGATTACAGGCTTGAGCCACCGCGCCCGGCCTCCAGCAGTGTTTCTATCCAGGGTGCACAGGGCGGCAGTGACCACCACAAGCCTGTGGGGCGAGGACAGTTTGGAGTTGGGCGCTCGTGAGTTCCTGCCCTTGTCTTGAGAACCTGGGCTTGTTACACCCCCAGGACTCTGGTTCTTCACCTGTAAAATCAGAAGAGCACTTCTGGACACTTCGCACGGCCACTGCAGCTCCTCTCTCCCTTTGGACAGAAGATAAAAAGCGACTCCCAGAGGACTGTGGAACGCTAACAGTGGCAGCTGGCTGGGGAGGAAACTCAGAACTTACCAACAACTGGCGCGGAGGTTTACTGTTTTGTTTTTTTGTTTCTTTTTTTTTCCCCAGCTGTATGTGCGGTTTTGAGGATGGGGGTGTCTCACAACTGTGCCGTGGGTGCAGAGACCGACAACCCCAACGCCAACCCGCCTTTCCCTCTGCAAACAGAGTGCACAGGAGAAACCCCCACTTCCCTCTCCTCTCTCTCCTAATCCTGTCCCGGCCTGATCTTTGGTGGCATCTTGGGCCCCTGAGATCCTGCACGAGATTCCACCTGTATTGACAGAGGAACTGGGCACAGGGCTCTGTGGTCCAGAGCGTGTGTGTGCAGGGTCCCTCTCTTATTTTCTCTGTCTTTTCTCTTGCTGTGCTGCCCTGAGCAGGGCCCAAGTCATCTGAAATGGATGACAGCACAAGGAACTAAGACTCTGAGAGAAACCCTGGCTTTCTAAATGGAGGACTCCTAGGAGCCTGAGTGTGTGGGGCCCCCACGGAGCAGAGACCTGGAGGAGGGGCCTCCACGCTGAGCATGAAACATCACAAGCTCGGTGCTCGCCTGAGCTGAGCAGCATGTGTGGGGAACACGCTGCACAGCAAAAGCCTTGAGAATGGAGCCAGCGCGGATCCACTGCACACAGAGGCTGGGACGCGGCTTGTGGCCTGGACCCAGCCAGGGCAAGTGCCTGCCAAAGTGAAAATACCAACGTTCTCAAGCGCGTTCTCACAGGGCTCAGAGTCTCGCATCTGATTATTTAAAATATCCAAGATACAACCCCAAATTACCCAACATGCCAAGGACTGGAAATTGGATCCAGTCTCAGGGGAAAAGACAGTTGCTGGCAGGACCCCAGGACTCAGATGCTGGAGGGACCAGAAAAAGATTTCACAGCAGCAATTCCAGCCCGATGTTCCCCGAGGCAAGAGTGGACACCCCAGGAATGAGTGAAAAGACAGACGTTCTCAGCACGTGGAAATGGCAGAAGTGAAAAGCATATTACCTGAAGTGAAAAATCATCTGAAGTAAAAAAGTTGGCCAGGTGCAGTGGCTCATGCCTGTAATCCCAGCACTTTGGGAGGCCGAGGTAGGCAGATCGCTTGAGTCTAGGCGTTTGAGACCAGCCTGGGCAACATGGAGAAACCCTGTCTCTACTAAAAATACAAAAATTAGCCAGGCGTGGTGGTGCACACCTGTAGTGTCAGCTACTCAGGAGGCTGAGGCATGAGAATCACTTGAACCCAGGAGGTGGACTCTGCAGTGAGCTGAGATCACGCCCCACTGCACTCCAGCCTGGGCAACGGAGTGAGACTCCGTCTCAAATAAAAGAAAAAAGAAAAAAAACGCTCACTGAGTGTCTCAACAGCAAAAGGGGGATTACAGAGGAAGGAGTCAGTAAACTTGCAAAGAGATCAATAGAAATTATCTGATCTGGAAAACAGGAGAAACAAGTTTTTAAAAAAATGAACAACGCTTCAGAGAGCTGTGGAACAATATCAAAACATCTTTAATTTTTGTATTTGAAGCTCCAGAAGGAGAACGGAAAGATATTAGTACATAAAACATTTATTTTGAAGAAATAATGGCAGAAAAGTTCTCCAATTTAGTGAAAGGTATAAACTTATGAAAGTCAAAAAGTTTGGTCAACTCCAGATAGGATAAACTCAAATCAAATATTTTATGTATTTATATGTGTAAAATTCCTCACCAGCAGACTATATTTACTTTTTTTGAGATGGAGATTCACTCTGTTGCTCAGGCTGCAGTGCAGTGGTGCGATCTCGGCTCACTGCAACCTCCGCCTCTTGGGTTTGAGTGATCTCCCACCTCAGCCTCCCAAGTGATTACAGGTAACAGCACGCCCAGCTAATTTTTGTATTTTTAGTAGAGACGGTTTTACCTTGTTGGCCATGCTGGTCTTGAACTCCTGACCTCAAGTGATCTGCCCGCCTTGGCCTCCCAAAGTGCTTCACTGGCCAACTTTAAAAGAAAATGCTAAAGAAAGGTATTTAGCCTGAAGGGAATGATACCAGAGGGAACCTGGAATTTCAGGAATGCAGAAAGAGCAATGGAAATGGTATATATTTAGACAAGCATAATATGCTGTTTTCACTTTTTAAGTCATTAAAAATATCTATTACTGTAGAGGCCGGGTGTGGACTACAATCCCAGCACTTTGGGAGGCCAAGGTGGGCAGATTGCCTGAGCTCAGGAGTTTAAGACCAGCCTGGGAAACATGATGAAATACCGTTAAGTAGAGATCAAAATACAAAAAATTAGCCGGGCATGGTGGTGCGCACCTGTAGTCCCAGCTGCTTGGCAAGCTGAGGCACAAAAATCACTTGAACCTGGGAGGGAGGCGGAGGTTGCAGTGAGCCAAGATTGCACCACTGCACTCCAGCCTGGGCGGCAGAGCAAGACTCTGTCTCCAAAAAGAAAAATAAAAAAATCTATACTGTTGAAAGTAAAATTGCCCCATTACCTGGTAAGATTTTCAGTGCATGTAGATGTGACAACATGACAGAGATAGAATGGGGGAGGAAATGGAGAAAGAGACCACACCTCCGTGAAGTGGCAGAGCAGAGATGCGAAGAAGAGTGTCAAAACTCGTAAGTATACTGTAATCTCCAGGGTGACCAACAAAAAATTAGAAAAGAATAGCCCAAAGCCAATAAATTTAAATGGAATACTAAAAAGTATTCCAATATCCAAAAGAAGGCAGCTAAGGGAGGGGAAATGAACAAAAAACAGAGGAGGGAAAGAAAACAAAGAATGAATCCAAACACATAATTACATAAAATGTAATGGTGTAAATATGCCAGTTTAAACATAGAGATTGTGAAATTGGATAAAGGTAACCTCACCCATTAATACGCTGCCTAAAGGGGCTCACTTCAAATATAATGACAGAGGAGGTGAAGGTAAAAGGATAGAAAAACGTGGGTCCCATCACCACTAATCAGGCATGCTAATTCCTGCTTCAGCATTGCTGTAAAGTTCACAGTGAGAACTTCCGCAACACAGGCATCGGGCACACACACAGGACTTGCTCAAGAACAATAGAAAGAATGTGGTTGAAAGCACCCTGCCGATGCCTTGTTTTTCAAGGTTCTCCCTGTCCCCCTTTTCAAGGCTAGTGCCCTGACTGCATCGCCCATCCTAGCCTGCATCGTCGGTTGTACACGGTCTTACTCAGACAGCTGTAAAACCTGGATGAGAGCGATTAAGTGGATCATGCAGAGTGACTACTTTGCCATCTGTGAATGTTAGCACATGTGAACCTCACTATCGTTTCTGTCTTTTTTTTTTTTTTTTTTTGTGGAAAACGGGGTCTCGCTATATTACCCAGGCAGGTCTTGAACTCCTGGGCTCAAGCTATCCTCCCGCCTCTGCCTCCCTGAGAGCTGGGATTACAGGCGTGAGCCACCGCGACCGGCTACCGTTTCTATTTCCTTGTGGCCGCCTGTCCCCTCAAGCCCACCTCCAGATGGGCCAGATGCTCCTGCAAAGGCCACACAGACCCTGGCAGGGATTTTCTCTAGAGCTTGGGAGGCACATTTTGATGAGTTACCCACGTGTCATTTCTACCCTGAGGCCACTGGCTCTTCATCCCGAATGTCCAAGCCCTGTCTGCTCTATCTGCCCTCGCTCCAGCCAGTCCAGCACAGGGAGTGTCCTCCACGGCGTCCATGCCCAGCCTGCAGGCCCCCAGGAGGCCAGCCACACACAGCCACCAGGCAGAACCCATGGATTCTTGCTGTGTTTTGCTACCATTGGAGAGCAAGCGGCCCAGACGCCACAGGCAACCCATGTGTGGAGTGAATGAGGGGGACTAGCAAGCGCTTGTTCTTGGTCACCTGCTAGAACGGCCACACTTCTATGAACAACGAAACTTCTTGGTTCTCCCAGGAATCTTTGAGCTTAACTGCAACCTATGGGCATACGATTCTGAGATATGGCTCCAGGAACCCTGGATTTTGGACGGCTTACTTCCCTTGTTTAATCTACTATCTCTATATTAAGGGTATGAAAATTGGTGATTGAACCTTCAAAAACCTGAAATCAAACACGAGTTTCATTCGTGTCTTATGTGTTCAGAATTTTTCCTAATAAATTACTACCAAAGGTCCTTCTCCACAACAGACTCGTTCAGTCAGTGCTGGTGAGGTCAGACCTCTAAGGTGGAGCAGCCAGCAGAATAACGCCCATGCTTTGGGCCGGCACAGCAGCAGGTGGATAGGCCGGGGAGGAGGACCGAAATTGAGCCAGAGCACTAAATAGTAGACATCGTCAGATGGAAAATGAGTTTGACAATGAACATGAAGGGCACATCATAAAGGAAATATCTGCATGTAATAAGAATTACATTGCAACAAAAGAGCACCCGATGGCACGACGGAATGAGTCTAAAGAGTGACCTTCTGTAAAATGCTGGCAGGGAATCCAAAATGGACAGGAAAATGTTCTGAAAATCAAAAAGGAGTGAAAAGGAAAACCATATGACACTTAGAAGACTCAGAAAACACACCAAAAAAATTATGATGTCCAGAAACACCTTGATGGACAAAGAAAAAGTTACTGTCACATGATAACTTAAAACATTTTCCACAGATAACGAATGGGTAAAACAACAAAATCAAAGAATGAGAAAAAAAACAGACACAATATTACGCCACAGCTTCTCCAGAATTGCAGAAAATTGCAGAGGAAGCTGAGTCACTGCAGAGAGAGAGAAAGAAACAGGAGCCCCGTCTCAGGGTCCAGAGTGGCCCTCTGCAGCAGCTGCACGTAGGTGAGGTTCTCGTGCGTGTTGGGGTCGAAGAAGCCCTTGGTGTCGTCGCTGGGGTCCGCCAGGACACGGTTCATCTCCTCGTCGAAGTAGCCGCGCCGGTAGGCCACGTCCACGGGCACGCGGTGGCTGTGCACGGGGTCGATGACGCCGCCCGTGGCGATCTGGGCCTCCAGCAGGCGGATGCCGTGCTCCCGGACGATGAGGCCTTTCTGCATGGCCTGGAAGAGGGAGATCTGCTGCCCGGTGTAGGGGTCGGTGTAGCCGGTGACAGCGCGCTCGGCTGACAGCAGCTTCGTGAACACATCGGGCCCAATGACACCAGCCCTCAGTGCCTCCTCAACGGAGTGCCCCTTGTTTGCTTTCGGGTCGATGATGAAGCCCGTGGCAGCTTGTGCCTCCAGAAGGATGAGGGCAGTGCCGGGCCGGAGGAGCCCCTTGCATCGGGCCTCATAGATGCTCAGGCGTTCCTGGGAGCCGGGGAGCAGCAGGCCAGCAATGCAGCCTGTACCCTGCAGGTACCTCTGCACCGAGGCCAGGCTGCCCACATCCTGGGCTGTGGCCTGTCCATGTTCCAGCCGCTCGTACAGGTCCTGGTCGATGATCTCGGCTTTCAGCAGCTCTCCTGGTGTCACGGTGTCCCTCAGCCCAGAAAAGGTGACCCTGGCAGTGGCTGCAGCCTGCTGGAGGGTGGCGCTCAGCTCAGCGGCCATCTTCTCCACGGAGAGGGCCCCTTCCTGGTGCTGCTGGGCCAGCATTGCCCTCTGCTCTGCGGGGATGGCCTCAGAGAAGAGCAGCTCCCAGAGGGACACGGGCCGGCCCCGGAACTTCCCCACGGAGACGGTGGTTGTAGCTGCGTTCAGGGCCTGCCGAGTGCTGTACTTGATGAATGGGGGTCCCTGGGGCTCCCCTCCCCGGGGTCCCCCTGAGAGTGGCAGGAAGGCGAGCCCAGTCTCTGGGTCAGTGACACAGCGGGCCAGCAGCTGTTCATAGCGCAGGCCACCGCACGTGCCACGGTCTGAGAAGCCGCCAGCCTGCGAGAGCTGTCGCTGAGTGTCTTCATCCAGGCAGCCGCAGCGCAGGGCGGCCTCCAGGGGCAGCCGGAGCCTGCGTGCTGGACAGACCAGCCCGCCTGTGGCCAACTGGGCATCCAGGAGCCGCAGTGCCAGTGGCCTGTCCACTAGCCCCTTCTTCATGGCCTGGAAGAGTGGTATTTGGGAGCCACTGAAGGGGTCGTGGTACCCTGTCACGGCCTGCTCGGCCACCAGGAGCTGCTCGTGGAGCTCTGGGCTGACCAGGCCCGCCCTGACTGCCTCATCTACCCACAGCCGCTGGCCTGTGGTGGGGTCCACTAGGGTGTGGGTGGCAGCCTGGGCCTCTAGGAGTGGCAGTGCAGTGCCCATTGGGAGCAGGTGCTCGGTAGCAGCCTGGAAGAAGCTCTTCTTTTGGCCTTCAGGCAGCAGGACAACCCCAGCCACGCTGCCGGTACCCTCCAGGTAGCGCCGCACCTCGGCACGTGCACTCACGTCCGCTGTGGCCAGCCTGCCCTCCTGCAGACCCTGCACAGCCTCCTCGTCCAGGATGCCCACCTCCAGCAGCTCGGCTGCACTCACTGCCCCGCCCTCAGAGCGGAAGGTGATCTTGAGGGGCAGCAGGGCTAGCCCCGAGCCGGCGGCCCGCACACACCTTTCCAGCAGCTGGTGGTACGTCAGCCGCTCCAGCGTGTTGGGGTCGAGGAAGCGCAGGACGCCTGTGCCAGGCTCAAGCTCTGACAGCTTGTGCCATGTCTCCCGGTCCAGGAGGCCCTGGTGGCAGGCTGGCTCAGGGGCCACAAGCACGCCCTGGGCAGGATCCACCAGGCCCCCAGTGGCCAGCTGGGCCTCCAGCCAGCTCTGCCCCAGGGCCGTGTCCACAACCTCCTTCCCAATGGCCTGAAAGAGGGCCAGCTTCTCACCCCCGTAGGGGTCAGGGTAGCCCGTAGCGGCACGCTCAGCCATCAGCAGCTTCTCTTTCAGCTCCAGCCCCACCAGGCCCTGCTGCAGGGCCTTGGACACAGAGAGCAGCTGGCCCTGGGTGGGATCCACCAGACCCCCGGTGGC